CAGTTTCTACCAGTATTTCAGCATCTGTAAACAGCCCCTCAGGCTTTTTGTGTTTCTAGCACCTGAAATCCTCTATTGAGGCTAACTGCTCTCACAGCACAGCTGCATTTGTAAATTGTGGCTAAGTTTTCTGGAGAACTTGTTGTATAATTACGAAGACAGGTATCAATCAGCATCCTGTGCCGCGGTACGCAACAATACCATCACTAACTGTCATGACAGGTGTCATCCAGTCATCACAGGCTATTCTTTTAGCCCTCCAGGTCACTGTGCTGAACACAAGGGACTAGTTATAAACGGAAACATTATTGTGATTTTACAGAACATATGCTAGCTCAAAGCTATGGGAAAAGCTTTTAGAGTGGGTACTCTGGCTTGAGACTGTGCCATTCAAACTAAAGAGAGCAACAGTCTAAAAACAGGAAACTTCCTGGAATACTCCCAGTATTGTTAGTAAACAATATGTAATTGGCTGTAAGTGCAATTGTGGTTTGTATATTAAAATACATACTTAAGATTGTATAGACTAGATTAAGTTAGACAGAAACAGTCCTACCACCAAACAAGAATAATTTCCTTTGTTTTTACAGTAACCCCTCAACAGAATACATAGTTATAGGTATTTTTAAATAAAAAATGCAGCTGCAGATAAAACTTTTCACACCGCAGGCCTGTTTGGAGGCTACCACAAGGTTCAGGAGAAAAGAAAGCTTTCTTAAATATCAGATGAACTCAATAGAAAGAGTCCCACTGTCTTCAAGGAGCTTTGGATCAACCCTACAATGAGTATATATTAAGGATGTTAAGTATTGGGTATTTCATTAATCGAATAATCAATGTATTTTTGCATCAACTATTCAATTAGTTCATAGGGCAGCACTGCCCCCTTTGAAATGCCGCCCAGTATTTCAAAGGGGCAGCGCCGTGCGGAGCCCAGGATCAGCTCCACACGGTGCTGCAGCTTTTCAAAGGGGCAGCGCCGCACATCTGATCCCTAGCTTAGCTCTGCACAGGAATCCCCCGCAGGCCCCGATCTCTGCAGCGCTGCCCCTTTGAAATGACATGCCGACATTTCAAAGGGGCAGCGCTGCACTGAGCATAGGATCATCTGTGCGGCGCTGCCCCTTTGAAAGGCCACTGCAGCGTTTCAAAGTGGCAGCACTGCATGAAGCCCAGGCTCTCTGTGGTGCTGCTGCTTTGAAGTACCACCCTCTTCTCTTCCCATGCTGCTTCTATCAGATAGAGGCAGAGGGGAGGGAAAGGGGGAGGGACTAGTCAACTTATCCTGTCAACTATCCGATAAGCATTTGCTTATCGGATAGTTGACTAGTCCTTAACATTCCTAGTATATATGGCCCATCTCCCCAGTTCTAAAGCAGCTAACTTTCATGCCATCATGCCCAGCCTATGAAATCAGGACCAGCTGTAGTCCCTGAGGCTCTAAACTGTGGCCGTAGGGATGATTGCTTTCAAAACAAAGGGTTACTTGGATTAGGAATTGAAAGTGTGCTCCTACTGTGGTTTATTAACTGAAGTGTTCAAATCAGCCCCATTGCTATGGAAGAGCACTGCCACCTTTTTTTCCCTGTTACCACAGGACCAGGCTGTGTTGTGAGCAAGGAGTAAAATGAGCAGCTGTTGTCCTGCCTGATAACATGTTACTGTCTTTCTGGGAGGGGAAGGAGGAAAGAGCATCTCTATCTGATTCACCATCAGTTTCCATGCCAGGCTGTGGAAACACAAGGGAGAGCAGGATAGGATCTCAACTGGCTTTGAAAGTACGTGAAGTACTCATTGTGGCTTTGTCCCTTTTGAAATAACTTGTTAGGCCTCTAAACTGAGAAGGCTGGCCAGGAACAGATGTAGAAAAGTTAGCCAGGGAGTTTAATGCCAGGACATTCCAGGATCAAATCCTGTACCAAATTCATACAGTGAGCTAGTGTGCAGCAAGACTGCTGTGGACCTACAGTGCTTTACCTTGCCCCATATCAACTTGCTCTGTAGACAAACCCTTAGACTGAAAGGTCCTTCAAGAGTTGCTGTCTCTGGGGAAGATTCCCTCTTCCTTCTGTTTCCCCCCACCTCTTCTGCTGACATATCTAGCTGATCTTTGATGACATTTTCATCAGTTCAGTCATATCACAACCTCAGCATTGTCTCTACTAGTATCAGGAAACAGGGTTGTTCTTCAGACCAGACAAGGGATGGTAGGAACTACACCAAAGCAAAGAGCCTCCTGACAGCCATCATAACTACTCTCTCTGAAGCCTTTATTTCCACCAGCACCACAGTGTCTCCCATTGGAGATGCATTTTTCACACAGCACCCACTTCAATATACCGTGAAAGGCAAGCCCAGCAGCACCAAGCTCATTGCAGTTTCCATTGCACTCACAATGCTTCCCACATTTTGCCATCTTCAGCATTTCTATGAATGCATTTTTTCTGTTTGAAAACTAATGACTGGAAACTGCATCCACATCCTGCCCATGGCTGCCGTGACCGCACCTGCAATAAAAAGCCTTGGTATTTTTATTCTTTTATGATAATATTAAGGGCAATATATTCTTCCCTTGATACATATAATGCTAGAGCATCAGAATTGTTTCTAACATGTTGAGCCACAATAAGAGTAATCAGAAATTAAATCAGGACAACACAATTATTTCTATGTTGTTATACTAATAATTAGCAATTAACAAGCCTGATTCTCTACTGCTTCACAATGTATGAAATCACTCAGTTCTGTGTTGACCATCAAATACTCCTACCTATTATCCCTGAAAAATTCAAACTTGAGTTGCACTTCATCCCCTCTTTGTGCCAGTATCAATAATTATTATTTGCATTACTGTAGCACCTACAACCCCACACCAAAATGGGGGGAGGGGTCCCCACTGCACCAAGCACTGTACAAACACATTTGGTGAGAGCCAGTGCTTAATTTGTGATGAAAGAAGAGCTGGGGCTCAAACAGTGTTTTAAAAAACGTCCAGCAAGGACATAAGTGCCAAGGCTCCCTGCCACACAGCTAGCACTAGCCACTGCCTTTGAAGATTTTTCAATCTAAACAGACAAAAAGCAGTGGGGGACGTAAGAGGCCCAAATACTGGGAATAACTTTCCCAAGGTTACACAGCAATTTAGATGTCAGTTATTGTTGCCAGTCAAAGCTGCAGTTAAGCACTGAACAGAAATAGTTGGTGATCCTTAGAGGTAGGTTGTTTCCAGGACAGATTTGAGGTGCTGGGGACATAGCGTAGGGGAGGCTGCCGTGAGTGCTGCACCTGTTTTCCAGGTTTCACCCTTTGGCATCTTTCATAAGTACTTATACTTTAAAAGGAGTCTCCTGACTCCCATTGTCGAGCCCCATTGTCTCCCCTTGGCCCTTTGTACGCCATTACACAAAGTCTGTATCTTCCCAGACCTTAACGGGCAGGCTGCAGCCACAATGGGATTTGAAACGGGCTGACCACAGTTTGCGTCCCTAGAGCCCAAGACTTCTCAGTGCAGTCCTGGCATCTCTCCAACAGCCTAGTCCCTGCAGCCCCACTGCCTTGTGTGTCCCGTTAGAGGGCTCCTTCCCCGGGGCTCTCTGCCTTTGCTACGAAACAAAGCCCCTCCAGCCAGGCACTTCCTTGCCTGGCCAAGGGCTGAACGCGTGACAACAGCCACAGCCTCTGAGCAAATATTTGTCTCTGGCTGCTCCAGGCACAGCTATGTCACTTGCTCTCGGCCCGCCCCCGCGCCCCCGGGATTGGCCCCGGCGCCTAGTCCTGCCTCT